AAGACCTGGGGACCAGCGACCGGCCCCAGGTACGTAAACCTTGCTGACTCCTGCTCTAAAGCCTGGACCAAGGCAGATGGACTGGAGGGAGGACCCTTCTTCTTACTGTGGCTAGGCCTGTTGGAGCTGGCCTGCCTTCTCTCTCTGGATAATGGTGGATGGAGGGAGGGCCCTTTTTCTTGTTCAGACTAGGCCCGATGGAGCTGGCCTGCCTTCTCTCCCTCCAGATGATGGTGGAGAATGGAGGGAGGGCCTTCTGTGAACCATTGAATCCAACTCCCTTTTCAATGCAGGCTCTCCAGCTAGAGCATTTCCAGCAGGTAGCTGCCCAGCCTCTTTTTAAAGACATCCAGAGACCACTTCCTCTCTTGGCAATTGCTTCCATTGCCAAACATATTCCTTTTGAAGTTCAATCAAAATCTACCCTCCTTTAACTTAAAACTATTAGACCTAGTCCTACCCTCTGATGTAGCAGAGAATGAGCCTGTACCCTCTTGTTTGTGACAGCCATTTATTTATTTATCTGTTTATTTAGTGTGATAGTTTCACCCCTCAGTCTTCTCTTTGCCAGGTTAAACATGCCCAGCTCCATCCATTTTTCCTCATATGTTAGACATGTGTGCCCCTCATACACAATAATTAATATCTGTCTTGCTTTTGAAAATCCAGGCCCAGTTGCCTGAAGAATTAATATGGTTTACTGTAGGGGTAGGCAACCTTTCCCCTTTAAGGGCCGAGGGACTTCAGCTCCCAGAAGCCTCAGCCATGTTGGCCAATAGTCCCAGGTTGGCCAATAGCTCCTGGGATTCTGGGAGCTGAAGTCCCTCAGCCCTTAAAGGGGAAAGGTTGCCTACCCCTGGTTTACTGCATATAAATCCTTGTGTTTTTTTTTTTAATTTTCTACAAGTTAAAATGCTACTTTATTTCCCCCCTACTATTGCCATGTATTCATAACTTTTTTCTTCAAATGTCATGAACTTTCCTCCTCACTTTCATTTGTTTTTCTTCAAGCGTGATCAGTTTTTCTGGGAGCATCGCTTCTTCACTTAAAGACAGAACTATCCAGGAGGCCAAATTTTTAAAGCAAAAGCGCAATTCAAAATCTTCTACTAAAATGGCCGGTGCTGCAAGGTCTAATTTGGGGAAATTAGCAAGTCATACAGGGAAGAAAGACTCAGTGGCTGGACGTGAGTACAGAAATGATGGGTAGTATAATCCTGTGACTGAAAGTGTACTAAATCCAGGTCCTAGTAATAATTTTGAGTAGATGGACTGTATCACTTGCTAAATGTTAAGTCAACCCATGTGTGAATCTCATTAGTTTAATGGCTCTACTCTATTTGGGACTAGCATTTAGTTTTAGGCTTATGTCTACACAGTTACATGATAACTGGGCTAAACAGAGAAATAGCTTGATAAGGCAGCTTTAAGTTACAAAGATATCATCAGTTATTTTGCCCCATATTATATGCTTTGATGCTTGCCCTGTAGGATATTCTGTGTATTGTATATGCTGCTGTATATTCTGTGTTGTCTCTCAGCAATTTCTGTTATCTAGCAACATAGGGCCTTTGCAGACTGCCAGAAATAGTGCAAATTGAATCCACTTTAACTGTCCTGGCTCAGTGCTAAGGAATCATGGGAACTGTAGTTTATTGTGGCACCAGAGCTCTCTGATAAAGAAGGCTCAATGTCTCAGAAAAAAAAATACAATTCCCATGATTCCCCAGCACTGAGTCAGGGCAGTTAAAGTAGACTCAATTTGCACTATTTCTGGCAGTCTGCAAAGGCCCATAGTCTATCCCTGAGGATCCTCTCCTTAAATTTTGCTGGCCTTTTAGAAAATTCAATGTTGTTATGGATGTGGACCTCCCTTTAATGGTAGCAAAAGTGGGGAGAATTGTAAGGATCATTTTGTAACCTGCTCTTCCTGCTTACAGATTAGGTGCAGGCATCTCTTCTTGCAAAAGGGGAACTGGCTCTCCTTGAGGAGCTTAACTGTTTACCACCTCTGCCTTATTTGTTTTCTGGTTTAAGTCCCCTTTCCCCATGACTTCAAAGATCCATGAATTCTGAGATCAGTTCCACACATTGCATCTTAATCCTCAAGTTGCCAATTCCTTTACAATTAAGGCACTTGTAGCTCTTTCCTCTATACATTTTTGATTAACATTTACATACTTTCTGGGGCACGCTTTGCTTGCTTGTGCTATTAATGCCTGGTAGGGAATCATTGGATTTTTGTCTCATGCTATTTTGAACACTGCTTTATATTTTTTCTGTCTTTTTTTCAAAACAGTAAAAACAAAGAAAGAAAAAGAAGTAGATAGTAACAATAATTTAAACCTAAATACCCTAAAGGCACAAAATCCTAATCTGATTTTGGAAGCTAAGCAGGGTCAGTTCTAGTTAGGACTTGGATGGGAGACCACAAGCACATAGGTGCTGTAGGCTATCTTTCAAAGAAAGGAACTGGCAAAACCACCTCTGAGGATTCCTTGCATAAGAAAACTCTATGAAATTCACGGAATCCCCATAAGTCAACAGGTAACAGGTCCAAAACTCACTGCACAAATAATCCAGTGTGAGACTGCTTTAACTGCCCTGGCTCAATGCTAGGGAATTCTGTAAGCTGTAGTTTTGTGAGACATTTAGCCTTCTATGTGAGAGTGTCCTGATGCCACAACAAACTACAAATCCCAGAATTCCCTAGCACTGAGCCATGGCAGTTAAAGCAACCTGAAACTGGATGATTTCTGCAGTGTGTTTTGGACCACAGAATAATAGAATTGGAAGATACATCAATGGTCATCCAGCCCAACCCCCTGCCATGCAGGAATACTTGAAGACATACCGTAAATACATACAATAATAATTTGCTAAAGTGGGCTCGGTGACAAACCACTCCTGCCACCATGACTATTTCTCTCTTACAGAATTTTATGTGACTGGCTTCATAACCCTCATCACCTCCCAGCCCAATACCTATTAATAACACACTGGTAGCGTTTGTTCAAAATTCTCACACAGAGGCCAAAATAGGTTTTTATAAAATAGAAGAATGTTTTATTGTGTTTCAAACCTACAGGCACGCTTCTTGGTTTTCAAACTTGTTAATAATATTTCCTGGTTACAATCTCAAGTGTATTGTAGCTATTTCAAATACAATCCTTCAGCTGTTTCTATGTTTACAATCTAACCACACAGACACTCTCTACACTAGAGCTCTGTTGAACCACAAAGAGTTTTTTTTTCTTTTGACTCTTATCTTTGTATCACTTAGTTCCCTCAGGAACAATTCACAGCCTCTGGCTTAAGGTACTGCCTCACTGTACCTCTGTCTAAGTCAGATCCAATTGACTGAGTAGGTATTTGAACCCTGGTCACCAGAGTCATAGTCAAATGCTCAAACCACTGTACCATACTGGCTGTCTCTTACAGAGCAGGACTACCTAAACTCAAATGTCTTCAGATGTTATATTTATCTAGTTTATCTTCCATCTTCTCTTCCAGTTCTCCTCCAGTTGTCAGAAAGGAAGAAAACAGTACAGAAAAGTGCTATGACTGTTTCAGAAAAGAAAAGTGGAACAACCCCCCATAAATCGTCAGCTAAAGAAGCTGCTGCCCAAGCAGCATTGGCAAGGAAATTTGGAATAGCATTTTTGCAGCTCAGCCTCATGCCCCTACTCTCAGGTATTTTCCCCCTTTCAGTACTAGGTAAGGAGAAGGGTCAAAACATAACTTGTTTATCTATTTAACATGTTAAAGCAGCTTTGCATTAAAGTGACTATAAGGAGATGCATTCCTTTTGCTATGAGGATTTTAGTTCTCACAGGATGAAAAGGTGTTGATAGGGTTTTTCAGGAGGGTTTCACATTGTGGATACAATGCATTCAACCTGGCAGAAGCAGACGATCTCTGATGCTACTTCAGAATATACATCAAGTGTTGGGTGGTATTTTGTAGTGACTGGGATACAGCTGATGAACAACTTTGCTGAGGAACTAATGATACTGAACCTGCTGCTGATTGTAAAAGAAAATAAATCTACAAAAGTTGCTATCCTGAGTAAAAACATTACCAACAACTTACCAGCCCACTAGTCTACACTTGCTAAAGTCTGGTCATCAGTTCCCCAGGGGAAAAAAAAGAAAGGACTGATTGTCTTCCCATTCATAAAAGGTTTACTACTGGTTATGTTGATAGTTCTTTATCAGCCTGGGAGTAAGAAACAAGCCAAGGAAGCCTTGAGTAGATGATTCTAACCATGTGTGCATCTTGCCTAAATCATTGCACGGAAGCACACTTATTGTAGCCTAGAGAAATAAGTAAAACATATCCTTGCCCCTAGTGAGTAGGACTTGAGGAGAAGATGGATGGTTTCATGAGGCTGGGTGATATTCTTCTCAAGTTGTGACCAAGTCTGTTTGTGTGTGACATATTCTCTATGTGAAGCTGGGAATGCTATTCTCAGTACTCTCAGATTCAGTCAGTGCCAGCAGTGTATAGATTCTGTGCAGAAGTTAACATCATGGATATCGAAGGTCTAAACGAGAAAGATGATGACTTTTGTAGGAAGCTGGCAGTGATGCATTGGTACTAGGATAGGGAGAAGGAGAGCTATGGATCTATGATTCAGAGGACCATTGCTCCATCTCCTAGTGAACACAATTCTGCCTGGACTCAAATCAGCCACAGGCATTGTGGTGCTGGGAACTGGCTAGTTCACATAGTGAAATCTGTGTGGAAAACAAAAAGGTGAATGTTAAAGTGCTCAGTGATGGCAAAGTAATAGAAAAATGGGCCTTTATTATGAAACCTATTTCATATTTATTAGAAAAGTTAAAGGGTGGCTTAGTGTGAGAGATGAGGAGCTCTGTAGTGAACAATATATATATGAACAACCTATCTAGGATGAAAAAGTGTGCTTCAATAGTTTAAAATGTCGTCCTAAGGCAGATAAAGAAAAGCAGTCTGATTTCTGAGATTAGCCATTCCAGTATTTCTTAATTTTTGCAAATATGACCTCATTAAAGTAAGGCATATTTGACATATCATAAAAAAGATTGCATTAGATGGCTGAAAAAATGAAGTGACAGAGGCATATTTCATTATCTTATTTATTTATTTATTTATTTTGCTTACAATTAATAAAAGCCTGAAGTTTTAAAATCTGTTGTTCCAAGTCACTGGCGATTAAGTGGTGCCCATTAAATTAATGGTTGCTTCATATAGCTTTCTTCCTAAATGAATGTTTGAAAAGGGATTCATAGATTATAATTCTAGTGTGAAATGTACAGTATACCTCCACACCACCATCGCTATAACCACAAGCCGATGGTTGGCCATTGCTGTGCATGTGAATTGTCCTAATAAGTAGAGCAGACTCAATGACAGCAGTAACATTTTATAAGATTATGTGCCAAGACATTGCTACTTAAAAGTAAAATTCTTTGAAGTGCCTTCTGAGGCAAAAAGGACATTCTTCTGTCTGTAGGACACATTGTTTTGAGAGTTTTGACTCCTGTTAAAAGCTCTATAAAGACCTTTTCCCTACATGCTACTCTGTCGAGGAGCTTCAACTCATACAAGTTTTCAGGCCTTGAGCACATTCTTTTTGACATCTTTGTTGAACGTAGCGCAGACGTTTGAAAGGTAGAAAAACAAAAAAAACCTCCTGGTAAATTCAGTTTCATTAGAAATGCAAGGGTACACAGTAGCAGCAGCAGCAGCAGCAGCCCCCTGAGACCGCATGCTGCTTTGCTGGTGTAGCTGACAGCTTGCATACAAAATTACCTCTCTGCTGCATCTTTCCTGACGTTTCGCTCTTAATTGAAGCTGAAGCTTCAAGGGCATTGATAAATTAATTGAATGGCTGTCTGGTGCACTCAGAGCTTCTTTCATTTTCTTCTGTACTGTGTAATTTTATTCAGCAAATGCTACTGATAATTTAAAGTTACAAGCTGTCTCCACCCAGTTGTGTTAAAGCATGCCTATAAAAATGCTGTAGGATGAATTCTTAAAATATCCTCCTTTCTTTGTGGCCACATACAGAAATGATTCTTTAATACTACAGTTCCTTCCAATTGCCACCTCTTCTGGTTTTCCGTAACAAAAATTCCTCCTGCCGATCTTTCGGCTCCCCTTACTGGTGACCTATGGAATATCCAAGTCAGATGCAAACTTCAAAAGCTGGCCTTTGACAAACTGGACTGCCTTTTAAAGTATAGCTCCTCTTTTCCATTCATTTGATGAGATCCAGCACCCAAGGGGTGACTGAGAAGGAAGCATACCATTTTAATGAGGAAGGAGGGGAGAATTTTGAAGGTCTGAAGTGGGCTTAGGCAAAGTGCCAAGGAAACATTTGTGGTCCTCCATCCCAACACATTCCCCAGACTGCCTCCCACTCCCCAAAGGGTGGATTTTCTCTTCTGGAAGCCCCCAAGAGTGGCAATGCACCTTTAAAATAGGCTGGAGGATCCCTCTATTCCAAGGGGTTCCAACCTGGAGTGTGCGAGGTGGAGTTTCAGAGGGGTGTTACAAAGAATGGTTTGTGTCCTTGAGTAGCAAGTCATGAGTCATCATCACTCAACCAGCTGCCAGTGTGCCTTGGGAAGTGGGAGTAAGTAAGGATAGATAATAGTCTCATTGTTTATTTAATCAAAAGGAGAGAATGTGACAGTTTACAATAGTTTACATTTTCCCCCCTGAATAAATTAGAACCTAATTGCTCAATTTGGATTGGCATTTTATGCACTGAGTTAAAAGCTTTTTAAAAAGCTCAGTTCGATCATCTGTAGTACATGATTCAATTTGCGGTTTAAAAGTTAGAAATTAGTCTTCATATTCAGTTGTGACAATACTTTTGTTAGGGGTGTGAACCAAGCATTTCCTAGGGGTGTGGGGCATAGAAAAGGTTGGGAACCACTGGGCTATTTTGTGTGTGCACTCCCACACAAACTACAATTTTTCAAAGGCAGAAGTGGATTTCTGTCCATTTCTTGTTTTGGCATTTTGAGCAGTCTGGGGACTCTTACTCCAGTTGCCCTTGATCTAAAGGGTTATTTCTAATGGGAAGAAACACTGGGAAAT